CCATCCATTACTGAAAATGCCCTTACTAAAATATCTACTCGGCCAACCCATATCATATGGGATTTTCTCACACCTTGGCCCATCCGTACCCTATGACTACAGGCCATGGGGTTGGCCGACGATTGGCTGGCCCATCTGGTACAGGTTTTTGTCAACATTGGCTAGCTGTATCCTACGGTACCCAAGCACTACATTATGTGTGACAATTGGGTCAATGACCACATTTTCTTCAGAATTCCCTGCATCCATGTCATATCCCATGTTGTGCAAGTCAACTCCGCTCCTCCGGAGCCCTCTCCAGACCAAGTCTGCTTTCCCGCCCATGCACAAGTCCGTGTCTCTGCATTTCCGTTTCTCTGCATCTCCACATCTTTCTAATACTTCCATTCCTGTGCCTTGATTTCTTATCATTAATACCTTTGACAGACACTTGACATCTCTAATATTCTACCTTCTGACTATTTCCGCTCTGACTCACTTTGACTCATTCTGACTCACTTTGACTCCTCTTGACTCATTCCAGTACTTCTGACTCGTATTCCACTCAACTCCAGTACTCCAGTACCCTCCGTGTTTACTTGTCCCCTTAGTATATAAACTCATCTTGTACTTTGTATTCTGCAGTTTGAACATTGACTTTGATCACTCCTCTTCCCTGTCCACTCTAAGTCCCTTGCTCAACACTCAGAGCTAGTTTTCTTGTCATCATTCTGACCCTTCAACTTCTGAACCCCTTTTGTTTAACTACTCCGTTCCGCCGTCGCTCCGCTCCACCATCACTCCATACCTCTGCCCCTTTGTAAAATACTGGACTGAACTTGAATAAGGGCACAACACATAAGTTGAAACCAAAGTCCACTCCGCTCATTCCAACAACTCCAGACAACCCGGAGGACCCGCATCTTAACAATGCACCTAACAGACTACAACCAAGCCTGACAGCAATGGCACACAAACATAATGCAAACTGGCCAGTGGTACACAGAATCTCACATCTGGCACAGCAGTGCAAACCTTCCCAATGATAAAACAAAAGAACTCAGTGAAGACCACAGTTCACCCACCAAGAACCTCACTGGCAATTCCCCTGATTGGAGGAAGTTGCACATTTCTCCTACTGCTTCAAGGACATGGACAGAACCTCACAGAATGTAGGAATCCCTTGGGAGACCTCAAAGGACCAACCATTCTCTGAGTCAACAATTTATGTAGGCTTCAAATGGGACATCAAAAGATGCATGGTTGCACTCAGCAAGGCCAAAGTCAAGAAATACACCAAAGCAATACAAGATTGGTTAGTACAACCCTGGCACACACTCAAAAATGCACAGGAATTGTATGGAAAGTTACTACACATGGCCCAATAGTACCACAAGGCCATGCCTACCTAATGTGTTTATAGAGTATGCTAACAACATGTACCAAACAGCCTTTCCTCCCACACTGCCCCAACAAGGGCATTCAAGAAGTGTCAAATGGTAGCAAGGGTGGTGCTTACCATCTAATGCCTACTGATGCTTGAGTTAGGATCTAGTCCCAACAGACTGGTAGCTCAGTTGGAAGAGTGCTACTGTACTATGCTGTTGGCCACAGGTTCAATCCCTGTCTAGTACACTTTTCTGGCAAATTTTGTCAAGATCTCCTGTGGTGGTTCAACAAAATCAACATGGGTGCTGTCATACAATCCATCTCCACCCTGACCACACTGCTCAACCCCCATCCTTTCTCAGATGCCAGTTCTGACCTTGGAATTGGAATTGTTGTTGGGACAAGATGGAGAACTTGGAGACTCCAAGCAGACTGGAGCATGCACCATGGCAAGAAAGACATTGGATGAGCCAAAGCCATCATATTTGAGCTACTCATCTGTGCCATTGACCTGTTACTCGACCAACCAACAGGCCTCATCATACATGGTGACAACACCAGTGTGGTTGATGGATGGCATGTTGACAGACACCACAACCACCAGTCAACTCCATTTTCAAAAGTGCTCATGCTTTCCTCAAATCATCTCAATGCATGCTTTCCATCCTACCTTGCTATGTTGCCAGCACAGACAACCCCACTGACCCACCATTCAGAGGAGTCTATGGCCCTCTCCACCTCCTCCTACCTCCCATGGATGTCCCTGAGCATGCTTGGGAATTCCTCATTGATGCCACCACACCCCTCTCAGCTCATGGACCAGAGCTCCAGGAAGGCAAATACTTGGCCAATGCTACCAGAACCATTGACAAGCTACATATAGTGGCTCAAAAAACTGTCCACATGTTTGAACATTTTTCACTAAACACAATATTCTCTGATACAACCTAACCCTAACCTTAAACTATTAGTGTATTAAATACAGGACTGTCAGAGTTGGGTTCAATCCCAGAGGTTCTGGAGCAAACCTAAAGGATTGGGGGTCAGGGAATAAGGAGAGGGTATCCAGAGGTGTCAGGTAGGTAATAGACTGCGGCTTCAACATATGTGTTGCACCCCTGTATGAGTCCTGTCTCTTGATTTTGGGCAGGGGTTCAGAATTAAGTCCTGAGTTCAACTCGAGGACCAGAGGATGTGATTCAGAGGATCAGAGGGTTTCTGGGATTGAGATCTAGTTGATATATGAACTGAGGAAGCATAGGAAAGTTACAAGGGTTTATATACTGTGAGTCCGAAAGGATATATACAGGTTAGTGTCAGGAGTTAGGAAATCCCAATGCACAGTGGAAGAAAGCTATGTCGGGATCACTAATGTAAGGCACACAGATGATGAATGGGAACATGGAATTAGTAAGGAGGAACAATGATGACAAAGAGAAGAAACATAGCAGAAACGGACATAAGACAGATATGATTACTGATAGATGAAAATCTGAGAATTCAGGGAAATGGGAAACACAAGAAGGATATGTCCAAGTGAAAATGGATGTTGTTGAGATATGTTGGGAAGCATTGGAACATGTCAGAATTAGGTCAGATGAGATGGGAAAGTCACAGGACGTGACAAGTACCTACTCTTGGCTTTCTATTGGTTTAAGGATCAAGGATTTTGGATAAGGTTTACAGCCGTTTTGAGATATGATGGCAGTGGTGGTGAAATTTTGTAAACTACACAAATTAGGACTTTGTCAGATTTTTGCGTCAATCAGTGCTTAGTATCACCTCCCATGTCATCTCAAGCCAACAAAAAACCTCGTTTGAATGTCCTTCTTGATGACATGCTTACTCAGGCAGCTAATGATGAGAACGAAACCAATGGTCTAACTTTTTCTAGTGACTCAGACGACAACTTTGGCTCAGACATGTTGGGGCGTGCCAGTCACGGTGGCCGCAATCATGATGTAGTTGTATATTTAGATGAGCTTGATGAAGACACGACCGAGAGCCAGAGCAAGACACCAACCAGGATCCCCACTCCTCCACCAACGATGGCCAAGAAACGAAAGTGCGGTGGTCGTAAGTCATGGTGACAGCGCATATATGCACATATAGCATGCACTTATTTTCGTCACGGTCCCAGGTCTCAATCAGGAACAAGAGCCCGAGATAAGGAAAGAAGTATCATACATTGTCT